TTTTTTGTGCGTACGAAACTTTCACTCTTTCAGTGTACGCCACATTCTAGTAGGAAATCCACGCAAGTCTTAGTACATGAGGCCCCAGGTGATGTTGGGTCACACCACACACACTTGGTGGGGTGAGATTGGAATTTAAAGGAACATAAATGAAAGTGGGGCTGACCAATAGCACGTAGCTGTCCCAGTAGCTGTGTCCTCATGCCAAGTATCATATCCATGGTGGCCTGGGACAAGAAGTTCTTCTCACAGAAGGATCTCTCCCAGCCATCACTGCGGGCTTTCTGCCATGCCTGACACCACACACATTTTTTTTAATTATCTACTGAATTTCTATGCTACCTTACAACAGTACAACAAAGAGAACAAAGAGACAACTTAATATTCTACACAGGTCCACTATAAAAAGGTGACTACTTTAATTACTTCTACTACTTCTATTGTTTCAAAATCATTCATATTTATAATTTCTTTTTTGACAACATAATAGATATTGAGAGGTCATATAGAAATATATATGTAATTTCCCCTCTGTGGGACTAATAAAGGCTTATCTTATCTTATCTCAATTTCTCACATTCTGAATAGGGGTGGAATGGTTTATTCAAAATTATTTTTTTTTTTCAGTTCATTTCAAGGTTTTGGGTTTGGTTTGGTAGTTTTTGGTCTCTGAAATCTAGTGAATTTATCTCACTGTTTGCCATTGGTTCCTCGCAAACACAACCTTGGTAACACAATGATGAGGAAAGTACGAGCAAAGCACGGCAGCTTCTCTGTGGTTGGCTGCAAGAACTAACAAAAAAAATCTTAATTTACTCCCACCATATGAGAAGTGAAAACCTAGCGGATTAACTTTATTTTGGGAAAGGGAAATGTGACAAAAACGTCTGAAAAACTATTGCTTATCAACAATCCCTGTTGTTGACTGTACCAGCCCAAAGTCTTGTGTCTTCCATCATCTGACGGGTTGCTTTAACATTAAAGCCTACAGTAAATCTATTATGGTAGAGCCGCTAAATACGAACATATGAACCTTGAGAATGTGTATAATATGGCCTCTTTAATGTGCTGAAAATTATTTGAAGGAAGGAACAGCACTTGTGATTCTCAAAACTTGCACTCAAACAGTGGAAATATCCAGCTACCCAGTTATCTATTTCCCCATTTTGGGTGTTTTGATTGTAGGAGTCCTAATACCGATGTTGGGAGCATTGCCTGTTATCCCTCTTAAAATCAAACACTTCCTATATTCACCCCAATACACACTTTGTATGGACCCCCGCCTACCTGGAAGGCTCTTAGCAGGGCCATGTGGTCACTGAAGGTGCTGGAAGTGAAACGTTTACGGCAGTGTAAAGCAGCTCTTTTCTGAGAGCCCTGGGCAGGAAGGACAAAGGGGTCACGATAGGCCAGTGTACAGGCAATGGTTAGAATGGGGTCCAGACACTTGAGCACTACAGCACATAGCACCATCTTGCCCAGGTGGGGCTCCACAGGTAGATCGGCAAGGTGGTAGCCCAGATCAGTCAGGTCTTCATACTGGTCCATAGCATCTATTGTCTGAAGAGTAAAAGTGGAAGGAGTCAATACAAACATAAGGACTTATTGCCAGAATACTGGATGTGGATGTGTTGGCCAGCATGTGTAGGTTTGTCTGTGTAAGGTATATAATATTATTTGGTGTTACTTGTTACCTTTAGCATCTGCACAGCATTCCTGATGGCATGCCCAGGAGGAGGCTGTGGAGCTTTGGACAAGAACTCAGCTACTGGACAGGAGGAGGGAGCCAGCAGTTTGGTCTGCAGACACAGTTCCTTAAACACACAACATGACACATTATTACTATAACAATAAAATTATTACAAAGTCTGCAGCATTTTTAAGTAGCACTGTGTTGTTCATCAAGATTTACTTAAATAGAATTTTTCAAAAGTACAAACTACTGCTGACTTTCGAGCCAAGCAGACACAGGTGGGGCTAAAACATCATGCTTGGGGAGGCTTGTCTAGGAACCATGGACTGTGGCTATTTTGGTAGAAATTTTGGTGGATGGATGGATGGATGGATAGAATAAAATACAACAATACAATAAAATACAACAATAGAATAAATAAAAAACATAGAGTGCAAAGTGCAAAAGTGCAAAGTGCAAAAGTGCTGTGTGAAATGTAATATATATCAGAGGGTGTAGTGATTATTTAGTGCACTCTCGGCCACACCATCACCATCTTACTGAAACAGCTGAGCCAATCACAGAATCAGCTTCTTCTGGAAAATCATACTGTTGTCTGTCTAGTACAGAGCACCACAATGTGAACACACAGGATTAAAGGTGTTTTTTAAATATTTAATTAGCAACATGGTGATATAAAAAAATAATGAAAAAAAAAAGTTAGTAGTTTGTTGTTTGAAGATCTTAGCTCTACCCTTACATCTTATGTTGTAAGTCACAGCATATCGCAAAATGTGACACTAGCATGTGCATCGTCATGCATTTTAGGAACAAAGCATCAATGGGAAAAACTAGAAAAGCAAAGAAAGTTGGAAAGGAGGTAATAATGCACAAGATTGATCAGCCCTGGTAAAGCAATGTCTCCTGCATAAACAGGCAGAATACTGCACTAACTAACCCGTCAGATGTGTGTGGTTATTCTGCAGTTGCCTGGTGTCATTTGCATGTGATTTAATAAACCAAGCGCAGCCTCTGTGGCTGGCCAATTAAGCCAAATGAATCCAAATGAATCCAAATGAATGAGCAGCTACTTGAGGCTAGCCACAAAAGTCACTGATCCCGAATAAGGCTCCATAGTGAAATGCAGAAATAAACATTATTACCGCCTGGTACAAAAACTGTTTCAGTCTTTCTAGCTAAATTCTCCATTCATGACAACTGTATGTAGGGTGAATGTTTATATAACCAGTTTGAAGCTAAAAGTTAAGACTGGGCATAGTTAAGAGACTAGGATTAAAGGCCCAGTGTTGAAGTTCCACAAGGTTCTGTACTTGGACCAATACTATTTACTTTATATATGCTCCCCCTAGGCAACATTATTAGGAATCACTCCATTAACTTCCATTGCTATGCAGATGATACGCAGTTATATCTATCAATCAAGCCCAATGAAATTAATC